TGGGTGGGTGTGGCACCTGCCAGGTCACTGGACAGATCCTTGGAGGGCAGGGCTGGCCCCAGCCTGCAGCGGAGCATCGCTAGATCTGAGTCACAAGTCTGCTATTACAGGGTCCACAGCTGGCACCAAGGTCTGCATGCAGGCCAGCCTCTGGGGGCACAGATGAGCATGTCCCCCTCCTGGTCCCTAGGTAGGCAGGACTGCTCTTGGATCACTACTGAGAGGAACTGCATTCAAGGTACAAGGCTGCTTCAAGATCCAAAGTTGGACTTTGAAGTTCAGTGGGCCTGCCCCTGGAAATACAGATGGGCTTATTTCTTGTTGAGTCCACAGGGTAGCTATAATTATTCATAGGCCATTGCTAAGAGGTATTGGATCCAAGTTACAGGGCTACTGTATTATTCACAGTTGCACTGAGGTTGGCAGGCCTGCTCCCAGTAAACAAGTGTGCCTCTCGGCAGGTCCCTGGGCAATAGGACTGCTCTCAGACCGAGGCTGGGAGGAGAACCGCACCTGCATCATGAGCTGTTCTAGGGTCCACAGCTAAGGCCAAGATCAGCAAGGTTATTTGGGGCACAGGTGGGCTTGACCCCTCCTGGGTCCCTTGGCAGATAGTGCTGGTGGCAGGACCAATGCCAAACAGGATTGTAGCTGAGTCTACAAGGGCACAGAGCTATTTCCAGGTCCTGTTGCCAGGACAAAGGTTGGCAAGCCTGCCAACAGCTTTCTCATATCGGTCCTCATCAGCTGTGGGCTCCAGTGAGGTTTTACAAGTTCCCACCTAGACCCCAAAGCTCCCACAAAGTCATTTTGTCCATGGATGGCTGCCAAAGTATTGTTACTGTGGGGGTATGTGAATAGCAGATCTCTTATCTACCATCTCACTGACATCACCTACAAGATGGTGAGTCTTCTCCTTCAGCCTATAGATATATAATCATGACTTAAAGTAACTACTTCTAATGTTATTTTTAAAGTCATCATTAGTATGCTTTTTTCCCAGTGTCCTTTGCATTGTGCATATCCTCAGGAATAATGACTAAGTGTTAAATTTTTGCCTCCTTTTAAAATTTTCTCTGTCACATGACCTCTCCAAGCCTCTGAACCGGCACTGATAGCTAGTGTTCCTTCTCTAAACAATATTCTGTTGTTCAAATAAACAACAAAAAGTTGAGCATATTTCAAAAACATTGCACTAAACATATTGTTTAAAAATTGAACATATTTCTACTTTCTGTAGTGATGGACTGAGTCACTCAGCTAATTCTTTCAACATTTCACTATCCAGGGCAAGGTACATGGCCAAGCCCGAAATCCATGACGTAAGGAACCATATGTTCCCAAAAGGAAGAGCATCAGATTATTTTGAAGAGAAGTAAAATCTAGTGATTCTGAACTACTAGTACCCCTAATGACTTGGAAAAATCAACGAATATTCTCTCAGGATGATAATCTCACCTTGGAGCTCAAATAATTCTACAAAAAATATCCAGCAAAGATAATTAGGTACATAAGGAGACAAGACATCATGAATGGTAGCCAGAAGACATAATAGACAATAGAAACGAATTATCAGAAACAAACTGTAAAAGATCTCTTTACTGTGTTTAAGGAGATAAAAGCCAAGCTTAGATTTCAGCAGGGCACTATTATAACCTACAAACAGTGAAATAAATTTGAAAATGAACCACACAGAAATTCTAGAGTTGAGAAATACAGAAATACCAAAATACAGAAAAACCCAAGTTAATAAATTGGTGCATGGTTTTAACATCAGATTAGACACAGCAGAAGAGTGAATTATCAAAATGAAAGGCAAATTAGAAGAAAGTAATCAAAATGCATCATGGAAAAACAAAAGGATAGAAAATATGAAGAGAATGGTAAGCTACAGAGGACATAATTAAACTCCCAGAAAAAAATGATAAGAAAGTAGAGTTGACATTTGCAAAGATAATTTTATCTGAAGTTTTATCAGAGCTTAAGAAAAATACCACACAATTCAAGAAGCCTGAATATATGTTTTTAAAATCCCTACCTAGACACATTATAGTTAAACTGTAAAAAACTTTAAAAGCAGCTGAAGAAAGCAAGCAGAGTTCTTTTAAAGTATGATAAACTGACAGTAAACTTCTCAACAGGAACATGGGAGCTACAAGAAAATACAGTGATATCTTAAATGTACTAAAAGAAAGTAACTGCCCACCAGGAGAAAAAAGATATCATTCTGAATTGAAGGTGAAATAAAAGATGTTTTTAAATCAATAAAGACTGAGTTCACTGCCAGCAGATTCATGCTAAAAAGAATTTCTAAATAGAAAACAAATTTATGGTTACCAGAGGGAAAGAAGAGGATAAATTAGGAGTATGGGATTAACAGATATACATTACTGTATATAAATAGATATTTGTCATTCAGTCACTAAGTTGTGTCTGTTTGTGACCCCATGGACAGCAGTACACCAGGCTTCCCTGTCCTTCACCATTTCCCGAAGCTTGCTGAAACTCATGTCTGTTGAGTTGATGATCCCATCCAAACATCTCTTCTTCTGTCACTCCGTCTCCTTATTGTGATACAGATGTAGCAATGAGAATTTACTGTATATAGCACAGAGAACTATATTTAATATCTTGCAATAACCTATAATGGAAAAGAATAAAAAACTGTGTGTGTGTGTATATATATAACTGAATTACTTTGCTGAACACCTGAAACTAACATAATATTGTAAGTCAACTATATATTTTTTTTAAAAAAAGGATTTCTAAGAGGTGTTCTTAAAAACGTAAGAGATAGAAACCAAAGAATGTAATAATTATATGCATGAAGCTAAATGAATGCTGACTAGATCACAATAATGTCTTATATATAAATGTATACAAATATTTACATATATATCATGTTATGAAACTTTACCCAAAAAAAGCCTATAATTCAGGAAAAATGAGTGGTTTTAAGTTGCTCTAAACTCTCCACAGGCTTGGTGGCTCAGTGGTGGAGAGTCCACCTGCCAAGGCAGGAGATACGAGTTCAGTCCCTGGGTCAGGAAGTTCTTCTGGAGAAGGAAATGGCAACCCACTCCAGTATTCTCGCCTAGGAAATCCCATGGAGAGGAGCCTAGCAGGCTACAGTCCATGGGGTCATAAAAGTGACAGACAGACATGACTTAGCAACTAAGCAACAACAACAAACCCTGTACATTGTCTGGAAAAAGGATTAAGTTACCAATTTACAAAGATTCTGATAAGCAAAGGTGGAATATAGCCTAATTGCGGACGATAAATTGAAAAGTTCCCAGAAGATAGCATAAAATAGTATGCTACTTATGACTACTTATGAGATGGGAAAATATTTCTTAAATAGGACACAAAAAGCCCTGATTTCAAAGGAAAGGATTGGTAAGTTGATTACATTAAAACTAGAGACTATTCATCTAAATTACTATAGAGAGAGTAAAAAGCCACAGTATAGAGTAGGAAAAGATATTTGCAATACATACAGCTAACAAAAAAACTCATATACATATTACAAATCAGTATAAGAAAGGCTCATCACCCAATATAAGATTGAGCAAGAGATTTAAACAAACTGTGTCCAAGAGAGAGAATCTAAATTGCCTTAAACATGTGATGATGTGGTCAATCTCAACTGTCAGAGAAATGCATATTAAAACCACAATGTGATACGGTTACACACCCAATGTAATGATTTATTTGGTTTTTGTTTTTTCTTTTGGCCATGCCACAAGGCATGTGGGATCCTAGTTCCCCAACCAGGGACAAACCCATGCACCCAGCCATGGAAGTGCAGAATCTTAACCACTGAACTGCCAGGGAAGTTCCATCAACACAGTGGTTTAATTTTTTAAAACTGACAGTACCAGTTGTTGAGGATGTGGAGTAATAGGAATTCTCCTCCTGTTGGTGGGAATACAAATGAGAATAACAACTTTGGAAAACAGTCTGGAATACCCAATAAAAAGCAAGTCTACTCAAGTATGTGTGGCCCAACAAAAATGTGTTCATAGCAATATTATTCATAGTGGCCCCAAACCAGAAATAAGTCATCTATCAACAGTAAAAGGGATGAATTGTAATGTATTCTTACAATGAATATTCAGCAGCGAAATAGTATACTCACAAGAAATGAGTAAATCTTACTATATAAAGTTGAGCGAAAGAAGCAAGACAAAAATCCTACATACTATAGTACTTAGTAGCTACCTTTGGGGAAGAGAAAAGCATGTGTGGTGATCGGGAGAAGCTCAGGGTACTCATAATGTACTAGATTTCTTTATCTGAGTGGTATTCCCATGAATGTGTTCAGTGGGTGATAATTCGTAAAGCCATACTTATTGTTTATGCATTTTTCTGTGTGTAATTTCACTTCAGTTAAACTGAAGGTTCTTTAAAATAAAATGCAACTGAGAGAGTACCCAGTGATACATGAGATTTACAAGAACTCGTATATGAATGAAGTCCTCCTCAGGATAATTTTGAAGAAAGCCTCTCCTTGCATTTGTGACATGAGATATTGTTTATCTGTCTCTCTCCGCTGTTATTGTTCATTCGCTAAGTTGTGTCCAACTCTTTGAGACCCCATGAGCTGCAGCACACCAGGCTTCCCTGTCCTTCACCGTCTCCCCAAGCTTGCGCAAACTCATGTCCATTGAGTTGGTGATGACATCCAACCATCTCATCCTGTCACCCTCTTCTCCCGTTGCCCTCAATCTTGCCCAGCATCAGGGTTGTCTTCAATAAGTCAGCTCTTTGCATCAGGTGGCCAAAGTACTGGAGTTTCAGCATCAGCCCTTTCAATGAATAATCAGGGTTGATTTCCTTTAGGATGGACTGGTTTGATCTCCTTGCTGTCCCCCCAGTGGACTCTGAGCTTTGGACGGAAGGGCCTGTGCCCCCATTTCTGACTGACAGTGGTTTCTCACCGAGTGTGGGATTCATGAAATAAGGTACTCACTGGAGAGATGTACTCCTATTCCCAGGTTAAGAAAACGACTGAGGCCACCCTGCAGACAATACAGGATATGGTCACTATCGAGGACTACGATGTTTCTGAATGCTTCCAGCACAGCCGCTCCACAGAGTCTGTGAAGTCCACGGTCTCTGAAACCTATCTGAGTAAGCCCAGCATCGCCAAGAGAAGAGCCAATCAGCAGGAGACGGAGCAGTTCTACTTCATGGTACGCCCGCTGCTCCCCCAGCCTCCTGGGGCTCCAGCCTGGGGTCCCCCAGCTCTGCTTTTGGAATTGCATCGGAATCATCTAGGGTTCTTTATTAACACCAGAGTTCCCAATTCAGCCATTCTGGGATACGGTTTAGGAGATGGTGCAGACAAAGTTAGAGGGCTGCTCTAAAACAGAACTTTAAAATGATCTCGTGAACATACACGTCACCACGAGAGCTTGTTAAAATGCAGGTTCTGATCCCAGCAGTCCTGGCGTGGGGGGCACTGAGAGCTCACACCTCTAACAGGCTGATGCCGCTAGTCTGCATCAGAACCACACTTTGCATAGCAAGATTCTAGGATCTAGAAGGTAAGAGTGGCTGGGTTTTTAGATATCCTGTGGGAAGTTCCTTGACATCAGATAGTTTCTTTTAAAGTTAAAAATGTATCTTTCCTCTTGCAGAAACTCCGAGAATATTTGGAAGGTAGTAATCTGATCACAAAACTCCAAGCCAAGCATGACCTGTTGCGGAGGACGCTTGGAGAAGGTCAGTTATCTGACATAGCTGGGGAGGTGACCTGGATTATGTCTTGTGTCGTGTATGTGCTCCACGAAGAATATGAACCGTGAATTTGTGCTGGAAGAAGCAGAGAACAGCACATGTTTAGATTTGGCCTTATCTGTGTAAGAATCAAATGTTCCTGGAACTATATCCTTTTACCCGTTTTTCTTTTGGAGGCTGTGCCACACTTCCAGGGGGCTCAGTGGTTCTACCTGCCAAGCAGGAGACGTGGATTCCATCCCCGGGTCGGGAAGATCCCCTGGAGAAGGAAATGGCCACCCACTCCAGCATTCTTGCCTGGGAAATCCCACAGACAGAGGAGCCTGGCGGGCTAGAGTCCGTGTGGTCGCAGAAGACTCAGACATGACTGAGTGACTAAACAACTTATGGGATTTAGTTCCCCAAGCAGGGACGGAACCCAGGCTCCCATCAGTGAGGGGGGCAGAGGGCTAACCACTGGACCACCAGGGAATTCTCCGAAATTATTTTCCTTATAAACTGTATGGTAACATGGAGGCAGAACAGTGAAATCTAGGGAGGGCTGAAAAGCCAACACAGAGCTGCAAAGAAGGGTCTTCAGAGCCCCAGTGCTTCCAAGCGTACAGAAGCATAAGGAACTGCGCCTGTTCCCACCTGCTGACAGCCCGCCGCCTCTGCCCTAGTCACTTCTTCCTTTTCTCGTGATACTTCCCCACCCTTCCAGTCCTACCCCTTCTGTTTAAATGGGCTGATATTTGTTGTCCCATCTATTGCCTTTTTGGACTCTAGAAACCAGTTAAACCAGTTTGGGTGCATCCCCCCAACCCCCCCCCCCTCATCCCAGCCCCAGTAAGATTGGTCTTAGTTGAGAAATAGTTTAATTCTATTACTATATCTAGTAAAAACAAAAACAATAATAGCAACCACTTATAGAAAGCCCCCTGTGTGCCAGGCATTGTTCTGAGCTGTGTATTTAACTGAGCGCTATTAATTTCCCTGTTTTTCACAGATGGGAAAACTGAGGAGAAAGAAAGGATTACAAGCAAAGGAAATAATGTAGATGTTTTTCTTTTTTCATCTTTGTGAAATTTAGAAAGGGGAAGAAAAAGCCACCAGGTCCCTGTCCTAAGTACCTCAGTACCAGTCTGTAACACATTTATTCTTATTTTTCACACTAGATCTTGCTGGAAGTTATAAAAAGTGAAAGACAATACAGATGGGAGAGGGAAATCAGGGAGTGAGTTGTGTGAACAACTCAGGCTAAAAAGAGTTGACCTAAACTCTTGCCTCCTACAGTTTTAGAACTTTCCTGCCCAGAAAACAAGGTGTTTCCATCAACTTATCTCCTAGTCTCCTCCAGAGGACCCATTATCCTCAGGGAATGTCCACATGTAGAAAGGTCGTCATAACCTGAAATTGCAGTTAGAATGCCAGACTCTAAGATAAAACACCAATTTTACTTAGAAAAAAAAATAATAATAACACTTAAAGTACTAAAAAGTGTCTTAAAAAATTATTGTTGCTAAGTCGTGTCTGACTCTGCAGCCCAATGGACTGCAGCAAGCCAAGCTTCCCTGTCCTTCCAATATCTCCCAGAGTTTGTCCAAACTCATGTCCATTGAGTCAGTGATGCCATCCAACCATCTCATCCTCTGTCATCCCCTTCTCCTCCTGCCCTCAATCTTTCCCAGCATCAGGGGCTTTTCCAGTGAATCAGCTCTTCACATCAGGTGACCAAAAAATCAAGAAACTAAACATAATGTGTGAACATTCATTAGATTGTGAATCAAAAATCAAAAGTTATAAAAGATGCTTTAGTGATAATTGGGGAAATTTAAATATAGACTATATTATATTATTGAATGAATTTTTCGTTTTCCTAGATATGATAAATTTATGAAGGAGAACATCCTTATTATTAAGAAAATGCTTGCTAAGTGTCCTAATTCTGCAACTTACTTTCAGATGGTTCAGGAAAAAAGACATATGTAAGAATGAGGAAGAGAGAAGGAAATAAAGTCATTATTGTGAAATGTTATCAGTTGGGAATCTATGTGAAGGTTTAAGAATGTTCTCTGTACCAGTCTTACAGTTCTTCTGTAACAGAAGTTTGAACCTTAAAAAAGAAAAAGCCCTTTTTTTTCTTTGAATAATTGTCTTACCTCAGCTATTATGTCTTTTTCTCGTTTTTCTCCTCATAATATGTGAAGTCTTTTTCTTTTTTTCCATTTTTCACAAATGCCTTGTATTTCGGTGATGCCCCAAGGTCATCGCCAGTCCCAAAGCCTAAATTATCTTAAGTGCAGCTGAATACTTACAGGACTAGAGACACCACTTAAGAAATTGTGAGTTGGAGAGAAAGAATTAATGGGTGAATTCATTCTTGGCACTGCAGGCAGACATGTGTTAATACTCTGATCACGTTCTGAAACCTTTATGGTACTCATTCTACATAGATTTCCCTCCTGTCTCCTGGAGAGGAAGCCCCACTGGTTGATATGATTTTATATGCCATTATTGGCTAGGGCTATATTTTAGCCAGATTCTGTCTTTAGCTGCTGAACTGTATGAAACTATATCATACCTGGTGAACTCTGTGCCAGAATTTCTCCTCTTATAATTTCTTTCAGTGGTTTCCAGTGTCCTAGTGACACAAGCTGTGTTCAGGTATTCCAGATGTTCACTGAATCAGATTTTTTCTGCACAAGAAACTGGATTGTTCTCATCCGGGCCAGCAGACACTGGCTGCAGACCTCTCTGCTCCCCAGCCCTGCTCGCGTGCAGACTTGGCGGCACACAGGCTGTTGGGCACAGCCTGGGCTTGATGCTGGCAGCTTTGCCCAGCAAGAGACTGAGTGTGGAGGACATGCCCCATCTTTTAGCTCTTGTGAGCCCTTCAGCTTTCCACGCAAGCCCTGTTCACATTAATAGGTTTACACCAAGGGAGACCAGGAAAGTTCATGGCGCCTGTCCCACAGTGAGATTATCCAATGGCGAGCACTTAAGAAGGTCTCCAACTCTGGGGTTGGCTAACTAAGGTCACCAGGTCAGAATTAAACAGTACATTTGGGGACAGTCTTGAGTTTTTATATAGAAACCACATCTCTGAGTTATACTAGGCTCATTGCTGCAAAAGCTGCCTTCGTAGTAAAACAAATAGAGCCTAACTCGGGGATTTAGCAGTTGATCGTACGCGGCTGAAACTGTAACTACGGACATGTGTTTGGCCTGTCTTCCTGCTCGCTTTTGGCAGGCTACCAGTGGCCCAGTAAGTCCTTTGATTTACAACACTGCAGAGCAACTAGATTGGGCTCTTAAAGTGGCACTGTCAAAATTCAGAATTCCAAATCTTTGAAAACAACTGAAATAGAAAAAAAACACACGATGAGTTAAGGCCAAAGGCATCATCGTCATCATCTTCATCCTTCAGCAACACCATTATATCATTTTGTGATGTCTTTGTTTTTAAATAGAAGTTAAATCGAGCATGGAAAATGAGCTATATGTCTGTAAAACTGAGGCAGAGAAATTTTGTTCCTTTTTAGTGATGAGCCTTGGTGTTCACATGGTTTCTTTGAGCATTTTGGAGCTTCACGAAGCATTTGGAGTTAAAGGGTTATAAAAAATCAGTGTAATTTTTGCTAAACATAGATAATCTAACTCTAAAAACTGAGTTCCATGTTATATTGTTTTTAGCTCAGGACATAAGGTTTCTGACAAAGGAATTAAATAGACTATCATCACTCACTCCTTTGTCTTTTGAGTCAAAGTACAAATATACTTTTGAAAGAAAAGCTGATTGTGAATAGTTTTTTTTTTCCTAGAAAAGTACTGCAATAGTTGGTATCTTTAAGGAAGATAAAGGGCTGGAAAGTAACGCCACAAGTCCTTATCAATCATTCATTAGGGACAAAATCCAGTATGCCTCCCTTCAGTGTGAGCTGCATGCATTTTAAATATTTAATCTAGTTTGGGGACTCAGATTGTCACCAAATTATATTTTGGTTTTCACTTTTACTCTATGGACATAAAATACATCTGGGCTTGAAAAATAATTCACTTCCTAATTCTCAAGTAAAATTTTAAAAGTGGTCAAAGTAGCTGTTTGTACCAAGAACAAGATAATCCTGGGTCATTTTTTTTTTTTTCCTCCAAATGGCTTGTATTGGGATAGAAGAAGGAGTTGTCTGTTGTTTTTAATAATTAAGTAGCCTTCCAATGAAAGTGATTGAAATCTAATCCTCAGACCGCTGGAAGCTTTCACATTTCTCTGGGAAGCAGATTTCTTCTAAGCTTGTGTGTTATTGATCTGTTAATGATGATACTGATTAAAAAATAAAACCTCATTCATCAGTTAGGACGCACTGAGGACTATTAGCAGAAAAAAACAATGAATGTGGTAGTGGTGCTTATACTATGAATGATAGTTCTCGCAAAGCTTGCTCTTGATTCATTAATCAAAATGTATCTTTTATAGGTTTTTAATTTTTTATCAAATACTATTAACCGTGGATGGATGGAGCAAAATGATTTTAAGCCATTTTATATATGATCATTTTCTAAATCTAGAGACTATTCAGTAAATTTCAACATTGTAAAGCATTGAGTTTCTAAGGAATTATCATTAGCATCTTTTTGAATCACTTGGATGTTATTAACCTCTGTGGTTCTCTTTAATTTGATAGGTATTAAAGTTGTTTTAAAATTTATTTAATTTATTAAATCTTCAGTATTTTGTATTTGGCTTTATCCGTATGAGGCAGACGGATATCTCTACCTGTCTTCTAGGGTTTTTCTGAGTATTGGCTGGGGAGAAAAAGATTTACATTTCACAATGTATTTGGGAGCTTGGGTCTAGAATTAAAACAAACCTGGGCTTTAGTGCCAGACCCACCACATACTGACCAAGCAACCGTGGACGAGTCACTTAGTCTTCTATAGGCTCAGTCTAGCAACATTATAGTACCTACTTCATAAAGTTGTAAAAATTGTGTTACTCTACAGAAAGTGCTTAGAACAGTGTCGATAAATGTTAGATATCACTGCTGTTTTTATTGTTGTTACTAATACATGTATTCTATGTCATACTTTTTGGTTGTAATGAAGTATGCAAGATGACAATACAGTAGAAGTCAGCTGTTTCCTCCGCCCTCAATCCTTTGCTCATTCTACCGACTCACTCTGGGTGATCTCAGCTGGCTTTAAAAAATCAGTGTAATTTTTGCTAAACATAGATAATCTAACTCTAAAAACTGAGTTCCATGTTATATTGTTTTTAGCTCAGGACATAAGGTTTCTGACAAAGGAATTAAATAGACTATCATCACTCACTCCTTTGTCTTTTGAGTCAAAGTACAAATATACTTTTGAAAGAAAAGCTGATTGTGAATAGTTTTTTTTTTCCTAGAAAAGTACTGCAATAGTTGGTATCTTTAAGGAAGATAAAGGGCTGGAAAGTAACGCCACAAGTCCTTATCAATCATTCATTAGGGACAAAATCCAGTATGCCTCCCTTCAGTGTGAGCTGCATGCATTTTAAATATTTTATCTAGTTTGGGGACTCAGATTGTCACCAAATTATATTTTGGTTTTCACTTTTACTCTATGGACATAAAATACATCTGGGCTTGAAAAATAATTCACTTCCTAATTCTCAAGTAAAATTTTAAAAGTGGTCAAAGTAGCTGTTTGTACCAAGAACAAGATAATCCTGGGTCATTTTTTTTTTTTTCCTCCAAATGGCTTGTATTGGGATAGAAGAAGGAGTTGTCTGTTGTTTTTAATAATTAAGTAGCCTTCCAATGAAAGTGATTGAAATCTAATCCTCAGACCGCTGGAAGCTTTCACATTTCTCTGGGAAGCAGATTTCTTCTAAGCTTGTGTGTTATTGATCTGTTAATGATGATACTGATTAAAAAATAAAACCTCATTCATCAGTTAGGACGCACTGAGGACTATTAGCAGAAAAAAACAATGAATGTGGTAGTGGTGCTTATACTATGAATGATAGTTCTCGCAAAGCTTGCTCTTGATTCATTAATCAAAATGTATCTTTTATAGGTTTTTAATTTTTTATCAAATACTATTAACCGTGGATGGATGGAGCAAAATGATTTTAAGCCATTTTATATATGATCATTTTCTAAATCTAGAGACTATTCAGTAAATTTCAACATTGTAAAGCATTGAGTTTCTAAGGAATTATCATTAGCATCTTTTTGAATCACTTGGATGTTATTAACCTCTGTGGTTCTCTTTAATTTGATAGGTATTAAAGTTGTTTTAAAATTTATTTAATTTATTAAATCTTCAGTATTTTGTATTTGGCTTTATCCGTATGAGGCAGACGGATATCTCTACCTGTCTTCTAGGGTTTTTCTGAGTATTGGCTGGGGAGAAAAAGATTTACATTTCACAATGTATTTGGGAGCTTGGGTCTAGAATTAAAACAAACCTGGGCTTTAGTGCCAGACCCACCACATACTGACCAAGCAACCTTGGACGAGTCACTTAGTCTTCTATAGGCTCAGTCTAGCAACATTATAGTACCTACTTCATAAAGTTGTAAAAATTGTGTTACTCTACAGAAAGTGCTTAGAACAGTGTCGATAAATGTTAGATATCACTGCTGTTTTTATTGTTGTTACTAATACATGTATTCTATGTCATACTTTTTGGTTGTAATGAAGTATGCAAGATGACAATACAGTAGAAGTCAGCTGTTTCCTCCGCCCTCAATCCTTTGCTCATTCTACCGACTCACTCTGGGTGATCTCAGCTGGCTTTTGTGGTCCCAACACAGTCTAAAGAGCGACAGCTCTTAAATCTTAACCTCCAGCCCTGTCTTCTCTCTGCGCAGCAACCCTATACAGTCAACCTCCTGCTGAAGGCCGTCCCCAGGACATCATGCTCAGCTCACTGGCTGCTCTCTCCCCTTTCCCATAGACCTTCTCTCCCATCCATTTAGGAATAACTATTATAAATTCTTCTGGAGTTCTGTGTCTGTCTTTTATTTTTAAAGTAGCAAAAAGCCAGGAAAAGGAAGGAACTTATAGTTAAATGATAGGTAGAACTGGGTACTAGAGGAAAAAATCAGATTCATCTCTTTTTCCCGCTCCCCAACCCCAAATCTTGGCCAAGGATAGATTCTACCAAGATTTACAGTAGCCTGCATCTGTGTTGAGAAAGGTTTGCTCTGATATGAACTGGTGCCTCCTATTTAGTAAATAGATATTAACCAAATACTTTAGGTTACTTGTTATTCAAAAGCAGATGATAGGGTAAAAGATTCTATTGCAGACTGGGAGTATTCATTCACAGCTCACAGCTAGCCAGCGCTCTTTACCATTGCTGTGCTGGCCTTGCGCTACGAGCCTGAATCACTGCATTGTGATCTGATGGGCTGGTCTCACCTGTTGGCGCTGCAACATGACGCTTCTCTGCCAGCTGTGTTTTCAAGCATTTTCAGGACTGTATCATCATTTTGCAAACAGACCAGTTGAATGGTTCAACTTTCCCACACCCCTTCCCACTACTCCACCCTAAATATAAGAAAGAACAGGCAGCCACCATAGATATATTCAGACCTGAAATTAGCTGAAATTGTTGAGTGAAGTCGCTCAGTCGTGTCCGACTCTTTGTGACCCCGTGGACTGTAGCCCACCAGGCTCCTCCGTTCTTGGGATTCTCCAGGCAAGAATACTGGAGTGGGTTGCCATTTCCTTCTCCAGATTGTTAGAGCACCATAAAAAGAGAGCTGCTTAAAACAAACCAAGAAGCCTGAATGTATAAGAACCTCGTGTTTTAAATGACAGGGAATTCTGTGAAAGGCTTTTAGCTTACTAGTTGATATAATGTAACATTATTTAATGTCCTTGTACTTTAATATCTGCAAATGTCATTTCTGATTGTAAAGTACAACTTCTCTGCCTGATTTCATATTCTCGAAAGAACACCAATTTAAAAGAAACTGAGTTCTCCTAACCCTGCGTGACCCCCGGCTTCTCTCTCACAGTTATCAGTTAAGACAGAGGGAACAACTAACATTGAAATCTTGGTTGTGTTTTATTTGTATTTCATCTTTGAACTTACAGTTAAGATCAAGCAACTATTTCTTGTTTAAAAAATAATAATAAAAAATAAAGCTCCCTGCCTCAAATTGTTAAGTGAAACATTTCTTTAATCTATGGAATTTATTGTTTTGTGTATAGATTTCATGAAATACTTACTTTGAATTTTTTGTCTATCTTTATATGCTGTCTACCGTAAAATGTGTGAGTTATTATAAACTCAGCATCATAAATCAAGGGACAGACGATATAAAAGATTACCAAATGCATTCCACTGATTCCATTCAGTTGACTTATTTTTTTTTTCCTGCAGGTCATAGAGCTGAATATATGACTACAAGGTAGGAAAATATTTTAACATATTCATTGTGTCTCACTCTCTTCTCTCTTTTAACCAGCAACCAATTAAATGTTGCAAGAATGAACATATTTTGTTAATGAACTTGGAAGATAGTTTGGGCTTGACAAGACAGTAACAGGAAGTGTTTGGGGTTCTCACGAAACCAGATTTGCCCTGGCAGATCTGAGGATTTCCCACTGGAATTGTAAAGCTCTTTAATGAGCAGCCTCAGTTTAAAAAAGAAAAAAAAAAGGATAGAAATTGAATGGGTTTGATTTATCCAATCCAAAGCATTTTAAGTTTCTAAAAAGAGTCTGATAAGACTTTTGGTAATTTAATTAACAAGCAATATTATGTGCGTATGTACAGTGTCTGGCTACTTACTTCTTGCCCCTGTATGTCATAAAAACTAGAGCTATGTTGAATATTCTTAGATTTTAGCTCAGTCCCTGTTTGGTTTGCTTTAAAATTTTAACTTTTAATGCCTAGTACAGTATTGCACTTCCTTTTGTTCTTCCTTTTTTCCCCCCTTTTATGAATTCTTGGAAGGATTTTGAAGCTACTGCTGAGAAGGAAAAGACTTTTTGAAAGCAGATTCTGATTTGGGTTCGGGAAAGTTTATGGCAACTTTTCTTTTTCTCTGCCAACATTTTGTGCAACAGCCAGAGATTATTCTAATTGACACAACAAGACATTGCACTTTTAAAGTTGAGCTCTCTTTGAGGTAGGAGGCATTTAGAACACTGGTCTGTCTATTGCAGTAATGGTCAAGTTGATTTTCAGATTCTATGATGTTCATGCTAGGTCATTTATTCAAAAGGAAACTCCTAGCTTGGTGAACCAACTAGGAAGATATAGCTACTGACTTACCTAAACTTTATGAAAATACTGGTTTTTCTTCCCTATGTCAGTAACAAAGAGGCATATATTACTCCTGCATAGTTATATATCACTGTGTCACAGTTAATGTCTCCTTTATAGTGTCAACTCTTTTACCTGTTTCTAGATTATAATTCATATAAGGCACCCTTTTAAAAGATTTTTTTTTAAGGCAGGAGTATGAATATGTAAATTCTCAGTGACCACTATTAATATAATTGCCCAGCAGACTGGAAGATCCCCTGGGGAAGGAAATGGCAACCCACTCCAGTATTCTTGCCTGGAGAATCCCATGGACAGAGGGGCCTGGCGGGTTACAGTCCATGGGGTTACAAGAGTTGGACATAACTTAGCAACTAAACCACCACAGCAGACTTAATATTCACATCCTTCCAACTGGTACTTCCTCTCATCCACATGGGCATTCTACATGGAAAGCCAGATCATCCAGCAATTGTGTAGCAGGTACAGGACCAGAACGAGTCATACCATTCGAATGTTGAATGAATGTAGAATCTGGCGTTTCCCTGGCCAGAACCGTCAGCACGCTAGTCTGCCTGCCAAGCCAACTCTGCCGTGGGAAGTACCTTGATTGAGCTCTCAGACGGTTTATTCGAACCTCAGGTGCCTGTCACAGCTTTAGTATTTCCACATTTGCTTCATACGTTAGATTCATCAGGAGAGGCACTTTTCAGACTTTAGGTAGAAGACTTGAGACAGTCCTCTGTTAGCCTCGGCCAGAAGGTACTCTGCATCTCTCAGCGATGCGGAAATAATTATCCAGGGCTTTGTCTCCAGCTGCAGTATTTGCTTGTCCCACAAATAAGTAACCAAACAGAATGAACTTGTGTTCGTATTCCCTTAGCTTCATCAACTGCTCCAGATAGCACCAAATGTGAAGTTCTATTGGACCTTGTCATAATAGCCACATTTTTCTAGTTTCTGTATTTGATGTTTTGTCTTCCTGGGGCCTTGCTCACCCTGGAGGGACTGTCCCTCTAACGGATAGTCAGTTCCTAGAGATAGTAAAGGGCTTTCTTACAAAGTGTGCCTTTTGTATACAAAGCAACCAGAGCTCATACCCTCAACCACTTCCTTTTTCAAGCCTTTATACATAGGGCCGCTATTTACCTTCTCCAGTCACCCAAAGGCCAGTTGCCAGACAACTAGGGGCAGCTCCCATGCCCCAGAGCCCACCGAAAGTATTCAAAGACTTGTCATTCAGTCACTCAGTTGTGTCCGGCTGTTTGTGACCCCCATGGACTACAACACATCAGGCTTCCCTGGCCTTCACTGTTTTATGGAATTTGCTCAAACTCATATCCATTGAATTGATGATGCCATCCAGTCATCTCATCCTCTGTCCCCCCCTTTCCTCTAGCCCTCAATCTTTCCCAGTACTAGGGTCTTTTCCAGTGAGTTGGCTCTTCGCATCAAGTGGCCAAAGTATTGGAGCTTGAGCTTCAGCATCAGTCCTTCCAGTGAATACTCATGGTTGATTTCCTTTAGGATAGACTGGTTTGATCTCCTTGCATTCAAGGAACCCTCAACCACTTCCTTTTTCAAGCCTTTATACATAGGGCCACTATTTACCTTCTCCAGTCACCCAAAGGCCAGTTGCCAGACAACTAGGGGCAGCTCCCATGCCCCAGAGCCCACCGAAAGTATTCAAAGACTTGTCATTCAGTCACTCAGTTGTGTCCGGCTGTTTGTGACCCCCATGGACTACAACACATCAGGCTTCCCTGGCCTTCACTGTTTTATGGAATTTGCTCAAACTCATATCCATTGAATTGATGATGCCATCCAGTCATCTCATCCTCTGTCCCCCCCTTTCCTCTAGCCCTCAATCTTTCCCAGTACTAGGGTCTTTTCCAGTGAGTTGGCTCTTCGCATCAAGTGGCCAAAGTATTGGAGCTTGAGCTTCAGCATCAGTCCTTCCAGTGAATACTCATGGTTGATTTCCTTTAGGATAGACTGGTTTGATCTCCTTGCATTCAAGGACTAGCCAATCCTAAACCTGCTTACCCTGCCTTGCCTCTTCCTTCCCATGGGAACCACAGCAAAGGCTCACATTTTCCCTCCCGGGATCTTCCTCCTGACTGCTGTTTCCCCACGTCCCCCTCAGCCCCGTGCAGTAGCATCCCCCACTTCTTGGGAACTGTGAGTGAGAAACAATCTTTCCAATGACAGTTGTCTTCCGATCTGCTGGCCTTACCATGTTGAATAAAAATAAGCTATGCATTTTAAAATACTTCTAAAGTAAGGAAAAGAGTGGATGAAGTCAAGCACATATGGTTAAATTCCTTGGTGGGCAGTTGTTTTGTTTATTTATACCCACCAGATCCTTTTTTCAGTGAATGGCACAGAATTCAGTGTATAAATGAAGTTTCAGAAATTTCAGCAATGGTAGTTATTCACTTTCTGCTTGGTGGAATTTTCCATATTTGCTTCTAGACACTCGCAAAGGCTCCTTTCAGCCTCTCAAGCACTATGGAGCCTCAGGCATTGCTTACTGTACACCCCATCAGTTATTTGAGCCCACCTGTTGGAAAGTCTTAAAATTTGGCTATGGAAGGCAGTATCAGCAAGTTTGTTCCCCTGGCTGTCACAATTGCTGTAGTGCTATCTTAGGAAGGTAGCCAGGCTTCCACATAAACTCTTGGGCCTTTGTTTTTAAACTGGTCTTTTTGAACTTTAATGAACTGAAAAGGAAGTTCTTCCTAGACAGTCTGCAGCTTAATAAGGTGCTTTACCTGATTTCCAAGTGTGGTATGTACCCTCATGAAAGTGAAAGTGTTAGTCACTCAGTTGTGTCCGACTCTTTGCAATACCATGGACTGTAGCCCACCAGTCTCCTCTGTCCGTGGAATTCTCCAGGCAAAAATACTGGAATGAGTGGGTTGCCGTTCCCTTCTCCAGGGCATCTTCTCAATGCAGGGATCGAAACCAGGTCTCCTGAGTTGCAGGCACATTCTTTACCGTCTGAGCCCCCAGGGAAGCCCATGTAACCTCATATCTGCCTTCTAAGTAAGAAGGAGTTCAAATCGCAATGTCCAGAGAAAAGTCTTCAGTCTCTTCTTCCATGTATTCCTTGCAAGAGAGTTGTAGAAGTTGAGTCATGTGATCCTGATTCTCCTTGTTCTAAAGGAAGAGGACAGAAGTTTCCCTCTTTGCAGTTCCAAAGCAGGATGATGCATGGTTTCTAAGTATCGTACTTGGTACCCTGGATGTGCCTATGCCAGAGAGACTGATCTGTCCATCAAAGCAAGTAGACTGGGGATGGAGAGAGGTCAGAAGAGAATAAACAGCTGCATCATAATTCTCTCCAGATAGTTAGGTGGTGAACTAGTTTGTTTTAAAGAAATAATTCATGTGAGCCTGGACCCACTGCCCCCAGAAGTAGCTTTGAAAAAACTCTCTTTTTCACTTGTGACTCATTAATAGCTTCTTTTACATAAAATAAAATCCCATTAACTACCTGAGGGATATCAAATAGATGTAATGTTATTTGCCTTGAAGAATTACGTTGTAAATAAAAATATTACATTTAGTTTCTCATATTGGGATCTTTCAGAGTCTTCATTTTTATGACATGTTGTGTCTTTTGTGTGACTTACAAGTCGAATAACACAGTTGTTGGTTTATAATGCTTGGCCAAAGAGCTTGCAGTTTCATTTGGTGATGCTTACCATTTTTAAAACAAACAAATGTCAGTTACAAGAAAAGAAGACTGTGACTAAATAGCTGGTATGGGTTTTGATGCATAAGTCAAAGTAAATAAACGGGAAAGGGAAAGGACAATTTTCCTCCATGGGTGGGAGTGGGGGTGGGGAAGGAACACAAAAAGTCCTGTGTCTTGTAATTTTGATGTGACCTATGGGTGTTTCATTTGTTGTTTGATTTCTGCCATGCTCAGTAATTATATTCCCTCCCTTAGGCCTCCAAATGTTCCCCCTAAGCCCCAGAAACACAGGAAGTCCAGACCCCGCTCACAGTATAATGCTAAGTTGTTTAATGGGGATTTGGAAACATTCATCAAGGTACTGGCACCAGCCATCTGGGTGGCTGATCTCCACGCTTCTTACTATAATGGTCTCAGCCTCTCATAAAAGGAGGCAGGTCATTATGTCCAAGTCTGTCCTGGGGCTCTTTGCTTTCCCAGAAAATCAATATAATATTTCCTGAAGTCAGAAAGGAAAGACTGTTTGGTTTGAGTGCCTTCAGAAGAGGGAATAAATGTGGGTATTATTATACTGGCAAAACAGAAAGCCCTCTTCTTTTAAAAAAAAAAAAAAAAGCCATAATTTGTACAGAAAGGAAAAGAGTTACCTGGTAAAATGCTTTCGTTCTGCTCATGCAAATAAGATGGCACAAAATATATCTTGAAAGTCCATTGTTAGGCTAGCTTGAAGCACAGCACGTTTTGATTTCCCATGACTTGAGGAATTCATTATATTGGACAAATTGTAAGGCCCTGTGGTCTGTATCTGGATCTCTGCTGTGTTTACTCTGTCTTCTTTTTCACCCTGTATTTCTGATAATGCTTCTAGCCGAGGACGAAGGAATTCACACGCGAGACATCAGGTACTGTGCTCGAGGGAAGTCGCGGGCACAGCCTCTTTCACTCTTGATACCATTTTCAAATCACAGTCATGCTTGGCTTTAATTGGATTTTTTAAGGTCTTTAAAAGAAAAGTGTTTGCAGTTGGAAATTAGACCGGTTTATAAATAGGTTTTACCTAGAAAAGAATTATAGAAATCAAACACTGATTTTAAGGGGAGTAGTCCTCTAGTAAAACTGGATAAATGCCTGGGTTTTACATTATGTATTTGGCAAATATACCAAATTTTGTATATATTTGATAAAAGAGTCAATATTAAATACCAAGGGCACATTTAATACTAGATATTGGACCCTCATATAAATTATACAAAATAGAGAAGAATGACACAGGATTCAATGTTTCTGAAGACTAAATTTATATAGGAAACTGCATCATTGGTTACCTCCTTTAATATGTTCCGGTATCTTACGTTCTTTAAAGACAGATCTTTTATTGAATATGTACACTAATGATTACAAAATATATGTGTGTGTGCATGTATATGGATAGATAGACACATACAAACATACATACATGAAGAAATTTAAAGCCTCCCGCAACCTTAAAAATGAATCCTAACCCTGGAACTGAGTGAAAGCCACTGGACAACCTAAAGAGCAATCACGAGTCTGCTGCTATTAGCCTTAAACCCAGAAGAGCCTTATTGGCTCTAATTTAATATAAAATTATTGTCAAATTTGATTATCTGGTTTCCCAGCCCAGGGCTTACAAACAGGGGCAAATTAGATGGAGAGAAGGGAACGATTGCATGAAAGCGCTGAGATGTGCAGCTGATGGCCTGGCAGAGAAAGAGAAGACAGAACAGCTCGAAGAGGTAGATGTGTGATCCCGTTATATTTGATAACACAGTACCAGAATGACTGCTTAAGATCATAGAAAGGCACATATTATGTTTTTGAAAGACTTTTCATCGAGAATAGTTAAAGGAAACCAAATTTAGGCATGAAAGGAGGAGCAAACCACTCAGCATGGAAAATTAACTTCTGTAAGCTCCTCTTCGTTCCAGATAGAGTGTTAAAGAATCTTTGGTCCTACCCGTGAAACAGCAGGTATGGTGATCTCTGCACTTTTGAAAAGTGCTCAGTCAGTTGAGATCCCCCCAATATCACTGTAACACAGCAAGGGAAAAGTTATTTTTCCTCTGTTTCCCATGGGGAAACTGAGACACACAGGGATTTGTTTGAATCGTCAGTGGAGCATAGCCCATTGCTTCACTTCCTGTAAAATACTTTCTACCAAAGCATCTGGCGTCTGTGAAATTAAATTAAAACATGCACATTCATTATTTCTTGACTCCAAAATTCATTATATGAAATGAAATACTAATGATAGCTGAAGGATTAGCAATTACCTGAGTAAAGATGAAAATATTTTTAAAATAATATGAAAACCTAAGACATTTCTATTTAGAACTTTCTTAGTGCAAACATTTTTCTTTTAATAACCTTTTATTCTTGGTTTCCCTTTTTGTTTTAATACTAAGTTCAGCCAGGTTGCCAACTAATAGTCTCCTTTCATCGTTTACATTTAAATATTTGTTGCTCTTCTAGATTACAGTGTTATAGGAATTGTCCATATAAAGTTTACATCACCTGAAACAAACTTGTATCCTAAAGAAAAATCCCCTCTCATAGTAAGTTTTGATAAAATAATATGGCCATTCTTGAGCCAACTAGTTCACATTAAAAAAGCATTTTTATTCTTCAGGACCTTCTTTAAGAAATTAATAAAGTTTATACTCCTGAAACAAATTGCCTAATTAGAGAAACTTAATGCAGGCTCCAGAAGTAATTGAGCCATTAACTGGTTTATACACTGTTTATATTGTCTTAAAACTGAAAATGAAACTCTCCCTCAAGAAGTGTATTACCCATTCTAGGAACAGTAAAAAGTTAGATTGCTGGACTAGAGTCTACTCCCACTCCTTCCACTGTTTCTTAATTGGAAAGGTTAGTGGATTCTGAATTGTTCTAACATATTGAGACAACCAAATTCTTCTTGTGTTGCAGAATAAAATTCCCCATGAATTAGTACCTAATTTGAGCTAATCATTTGAAACCTTCATACTTCCTTTAAAGCTCCAATTCCTGAAAGAGTAGATGAAAAATAACTCCATAGTCGGTAACCTTCTTTAACTACATGGAGTGCTTGGCATTGACACATATTTAACTGTGACCTCAGCAGCTCCTTCATCTCATTTGTCATCCTCTACATGTCTTAATACATTTGCAGAATTCACATTTGATCAGTAGAGTGCGATGTTCAGTAGAGTAGATTACAAGATGTAGAGAAAGAAGGCCAAGATATGTTCCTTCTAAGAAAACAAGATCTAATGGGGTGCACATTGGTGCCATTTTTTTCCTCCATCCTTAAAACACGAAAAAAATAACAATGAAAAATCTTTAGAGGGTGAGTCAGATCTGATGCAAACTAAATAAATACGTGACACATTATGAGCAGCTATAAAGCAATTCTCGTATTATGCATCTGGAAACACATAAGCCCTTTATAACTGTCATCATCTAGATGGTTGACTCTCGGGGGGTGCTACAGAGAGGATCCTGAGATGGCTGAACCATTGTGTTTGTTGACTAGTACAGTCAGTCAGTCCTAAGATGCTACAGTTAGAATATCCTGAGCTCTTTTAGGTCCATTAGATTAATTACTTGTGTAAGTAAGCTTTTTAAACATAAGTGATTTACATAATTCATTTTGGTATGTGAGCCTACATGCAAGTAGAAAAGGTGAATTAGCTATGACATCCTTAGGCATAGCAAAGTGAGTTAAAACAGAATTGCCTTCAACGTATTTAATTTGGTTTGCCTCAGAACTGAAATATACCTTTGGTCATATATAATTTTATATTTGGCCCTTGAAGAATATTTTAGAGGGAGTGTGTTTGGAAATGATCATCTAAAAGAATAAAAAGCATTCCTTAATTAGGGTTAAGCTATAAGCTTTATTATTACGTGTGATTTGTGCCTCTGCCCTGCTGTTAACTGGTTTCCATCTCTTGACCCAGGACTCAGGACAGATCATCCCCCTCATTGTGGAAAGTTGTATTCGGTTCATAAATCTCTATGGTAAGCCCTAAACTGCAGTATTCTTACCCTAAACAATTACTAGGAGTCTTGCAGTAAATGTGCCTTTCTTTTTAATACTCAATGGTTGGAAAAGAAGGGACCTGGAGGATGTGATGGAATCTCTCATGCTCTTTCCCTTCTGTTCTCTTTAGGTCTTCAGCATCAGGGGATTTTCAGAGTGTCTGGTTCCCAGGTGGAAGTCAATGATATTAAAAATTCATTTGAGAGAGGTAAATGCGCATCTGTACCTATAAGCAAACTTTGTTAATAAGTTCGTCGTTTTCTGTAGAGAAAAGTGGCATACTCATCCTAAATGTCTTGAAAACCTTTCTCTGCATTTATTTCTTTTTGGATGTTGAATTAAGAATCTATTTAGAATAGCTGAGAAATGAAGCCAAAATCATAAGGCTTTGTTATCAAGTCTAGAAAAGCATATGGGTTTGGTATCCTTGGTTTAGGACCAGCATTGGTGATCCTCAACATGCTGTCAAAGGTGGCTCATGAAAGGTTCTAGAAAAGTGGCAAGAACAGCTGTGGGCCTGCACAGCAGGTGTTTGAGGTGACTCATCCCAGCTTCGTGTCTATTTCCTTTGTCAGGAGCTCTCCTTCCTCTTATTGCCATCTCCAGACTCCTCCCCGTGACCTTAGTTGGTGCCTTATTCTTTTATCCCAATTGACTGTCAAATAAGTCCTCCCAAACTGTTCATTAGCACATTATGATGAGTATCAGGCAGACCTAGAATCAAATCACACTTCTGCATTTACTAATTGTGTGATATGGGTCAAGTGATTAATCTCTTACTTTGGCCTCGGTTTCCTCATCTGCAAAATGCTAGGGTTGGCGTGAGAAATAGGTTTAAGCCATGAAAGTGCTTAACTCTTAAGCGGTGGCTCTTAGCTCATAATGCTCTCCTATTAAAATGATTTGCCTTATGTCTACTTTTGGGTACATCTGCACCTTCCTGCCCTTGCCTGAAAGTCAAACCAGGGATGCAGAGGGAGGGACATCATAGCGTGGAGACAGGGCCACCTCTCTTGGTCCCATTTGTCCTGACTCAGACTTGGTACAAAGCCAAGTTTGAAACCGTGGTTGAAGAGGTCAACTTGGAGCCAGATTGTTTTTCCTCTTCCAAACCCTCTGAGTGATATGATGTATAGAGCAGAGGAGTCTCCCCTCAAGAGCTAAGTGTCCAAGTCTCTTACATGGACCATATTCGAGATAAATAGTAAAGCATCAGGTTCCTGTGCCAACCGTTGTAGGCAGGAATGGTTTTCTTACTTTTCCTTGGACATTCCCCTGGTATTTGTTGTTAGTTTGTGATCTCTTTGGTTAAGGCTTTCTCATGGTGGGCAAAAAAAATTGTTTTTGGTGAATTCATGTTCAGTGATTTCCTGCCCTAGAAGCAGAGAAAAAGGAACCACAAGTCCCTGAAAATAAACTGCCCCAAGAGGCAAAGAAAAGTTAAAATGCAGTGTACAATTTTTGTGAACTTTAGAAGAGCAGACCTATGAATAAAAAATGGAGTTTGATTTAAGGCTGCACATTATGTTGAACTTCTTAAGAATTTCATTTCAGTTTAGTTCTCAGGAACGTGGACTAGTCAGGTCAGTTACCTAATATTTTAAAAGCACCCACCATAAAGAATAATGTAATTTCATGTTTGTGATATATAAATTTCCCACTTTTTATACACATTCTTTGGTACTGTTAAAGGTACGTTTTCCAATTCCTGTCTGATTTCAAAATCTACTGCTGAAGTCAACTTTCAAATGTTATGAACACCACCATTCACTTTGAGAAACACTTATTTAATGGTATTTAATGGTAGGTAGTCACAATTAGTTGAGTCCTATAATATTTCTGATAAATTTTCCTGATCCATATAGCATAGCCACACAGACCTGTATTGTTTCTTTTTCCCCAGTAGGATACGAGACACAGAATGTAGTATTTGAATTCATGTCAAATTAAGATTACAGATTTTAGCTTTTAAAAAAAAAAAGTTGGGTCCAATTATAAATCCCACAATATTTTATTTTAAGTTTTTAGGTAATTTGTAAGGGATTATTTGGTAGTATATGATATAAAAAAGCTTTATTTTGGCCAACTATTTTTAGGTTAATCATGGGGTAGAATATCTAAGCCAATTATTTTAATTTTAGTAGCATGTAATCTTTTAGTAGCATGTAATTAAAATATATGTGTATATATAGAAATGTGTGTGAGTATAGAAACATATTTTTGTTCAGAAATAAAAAGAGAAGCAATGTGCATGTAACTAATTTGTTGGGTTTTTTTTTTAGGTGAAAACCCTTTGGCTGATGACCAGAGTAACTGTGATATTAACTCAGTTGCTGGCGTTCTAAAGCTCTACTTCCGTGGGCTGGAAAACCCCCTCTTTCCTAAGGAAAGATTTAATGATCTGATTTCTTGTGTCAGTAAGTGGGCAATGTTTTTTTTTTTTTCCCCTCAATTTTTTCCCCACCAGAGTTATTTGACAAACCAATTTCCTGGAAGAGGCAGCAGCCCGGTATCCTCCTCCCCACCATTACTCCATCAGCACCAGGTTTCTGAGACCACTTGTCTGGGAGCCAGCGTGACTCATCCACCCAGCTGTGGCCTCGCCCTTCGCCGAGTGGGCTCTGCTCCTGAACATTACCCAGCTTCCATAGAGCCCAGGAGCTTCCCACTTAGTAGCTGGGACGGAGCAGAGAAGCAGGTGCCAACTCACTGAAGGCGAGGAGGAAGCTGTAAGCGTGGAAATGCTAACTGTTTTTTGGCTTTTGGCTCTTGGTCTTTTCCACCATCTTTGTTACTTAGGGGAAAAAGGTAAAAGGAGATAAATGATCATCATTACAAAGCAGGGACAGTAGGTGGTAATTATCTGTCGGTGGGCATCCCCAGCTAATAGGCAGAGTGGTTCTGGGAGCATGTATGATGTATTATGAAACCCAGAATCAGCAGAGCAAAGCATTGCTTTTTCTTCAGGGGGTGGGAGGCTCTTGACACTACAGGAAAGAAGGTGAAAATAATAATACTGGGAATGAGGTATTTAACCACAGCCACATCCCATATGTCTATAAACTCAGTGTCCCTTTAAGTCCACGTTCCCAGGCAAGGCTGTTGAACTAACTGAAATCACACAGTGAGGGCTTTTGTGAGAATCAAGCTTTACTCTAATGAACAAACCTCCTCCCCCCACCTCCCCCGCTACCCACCTGGATCAGCAAGTCCAAGTGACCTCAGAAAATCTCTCTACTCACCCTTCCTTCCCCTTTCCCGTCACCAGTGCTTTGGTTTCTCACTGGGAGATCCTACTCCTACGTTTTGCCCTCTTTCCTTAACATACTTCATGCCAGGCACTCCTCTTGGCACTTTACATGTATGAGCTCATTTCATTCTCAGAACCCTATGATTGATGGATTGATGTTCTCCTGATTTTATAGATGATGAAACTGAGGTGCAGAGAGGTTAAGAAACTTTCTGGCGAGCAAGGTGGACCTTGCTGACGGAGTCAAAAGCCTAGGTTCAGAAGGGCAAATCGAGTTTTATATTACCATCACCACCTCCCACCTCTCCCCACCCATTTAAAATCTATTTCATTATTTTCCGCCTGAAAACAGACTCCTTGGTATGGCCCGTTCATAGTATAAATCCCTTCCTCCATCCGATCTCTCTCCTTTTGTGCGTTCATCTCCTGCCACCTGCTCGGTTGACTTTATTTCAGTGGTAGCGGTCTGCAGATGTGCTGGACCATTTCCCACCTCCGTGCCTTTGCTGGTGCCGCTGTATCTGCTGCCCCTCGTGGCCATCTGACATCCACAGGGAAGGATGTGCTGAACTAGCACTCCCCCTGTTTGTTGATATTTTTGCCTGTATCGGGTCTTAGTTGTGGCTCATGGGATCTTTTACGGTAATGTGCAGGCTCTTCGTTGCAAGCCTGGCTCTCTCCCTCTAGTCGTGGTGCACGAACTCCAGAGCACATGGGCCCTGTGGTTGTCGCACACGGACTCTTTAGTTATGGTGTGTTGACTTTCTTGCTCCGAGGCAAGTGAGATCTCAATTCCCTGACCAGGGGTCGAACCAGTGTCCCCTGCATTGGAAGGCAGATTCTTAACCACTAGACCACCAGGGAGGTCCCCTCCCCCAAAATCATTTTGTTGGCAACCATGCCTGAAGTCCTCGATCTCACTGAGTAGGAATTCCCCGATCATAATTACCTCCACCCCCACCCTGTACAGTCCGATGCGTGTGTGGAATTCGGAAGTGTGCCTGTGTGTCCATTCCGTGGCCCTCGCGTAGCTTGAGTCACAGCAGCTTCTGACCCAGCTGGAAAGAACTGAGAAGAAGCTGTCACACTTCTGGAATTCCCCTTTGGCCATGTGCAAAGATTTTCCTCACCAGCCTAGCCAGAAAGTTTATATGTGCAAAAAATTATAAGCACTCTCTAATGTTCAGTGGTTTTCTCCGTGCATAGATCATCCACATGTATGTTTACACACCCCAGCTGGGTAAAGACGACTGGGCCGCATTGTCAGTTTCTATTGCAGATTCACATCACACTTTCATTGAATGAGAAATACTATTTCATTGTGGTTATTAAAAGCTGAAGCCTTGGAGGCAGAAAGATCTAGATTCAAATCCTAGCTTCACCACTTAGCAGCTTTGTAACCTTGGGCAGAGATCAATATTTAATCTTTTTAAATATATATTTCTTTATCTACTTCATAGAGTGTGTGTGAAGCCGAAGGAGACGATCCATACTAAGTGTTTCTAGCATCACGCCTGGCACACAGTGAGCTTCAGTATATGTTGTCATCATGACAACTGTCACAGCTACTCCTACTGCAGACTCAGGTCACATGTGCCAATACCTGCGTTAGCCATTTACCAGTCTTACCTGTTCAAAATATGTATTTCTTTGCTATAATTAGTTCATAATCATTTAGAAATGATGTGAATTTAACCCAGACATTGTGTGGGTTCCGGCATGACTTTTCCCAGCACAGTAAATGTGTTACAATCAAAGACAAGCTTTCTTAACAAGCAAATGTGAAGCAAAATAAGAAGATCATAAAGGAAAAAAATGGAAAATCTACAGAAATACCTTTCTTTTATTGAAAAGAATGCCTTACCTGAAATGCTACAGGGGCACATAAAGAAGCTGCAAAGACATTTCCCCCTGTATTTAAACAATGGGTTAATGAAAAGTGGATTAATAATCCTTGAGCTAATTTGTATGAAAATAGTCTCGATTGCCAATGAATAGCCACAGGACCAACATCTCAAAGAAGTGGGAGCCCCTGGCGACTAAGACGGCTCCGGTTGCTAGGTGCACACACCAGTAGATTTGACGATGCCAGTAATTTAAGTAGTGTTGTTAACGTTTTTGTTAGTTCTCTAGTTACAGATTCTTAGATGTTGTGCAGTGGTTTCCCCATAAGTCCTGTTACTTTTAGTGCATAATTTTGCAGAATGGAATGTTTTTCAAAAACACTTAATGGCACCATGTATAGCAACCCCATTTCTTCCAACATCTAATCTATTTAAAAGGGGATTCCTGGTTATTATTGATTTCTCTTTAGGCAAGCATTTTCTCTTACCAGTGTGACCATGATCTACCTGTATTTTTCCTGGATTTTCAATAAGTTATTTGAACGTGGTGTGTCATTCATTATTATACCCTTCCATTAATATTACAGACTTTTGATGATTATCACCTACAGTGTTGCAAAACTTTCTCAGGATTCAAAGACTTGACTTTTACATTCAGGAGGTTTAAAATATACTAGAAGAGATAAGATATTTATTTACAAATAAATTCAGTCTAAGTTTGTGATAGAAACAAAAGACTTAGGATTGTTAGTGGAGAGAGGTCTTGGCGGAGATCGATTGCTTTTGTCCATGTCATCTCCTAGTATTGCCTTAATTGGATTTGATTTTCTCTCTTAAGGTAATTTTATGTGATATTTTGTATAGAAAAACTTCCCTTTTCATCTTTTCTAAGAGTTTACATAAGTCTCTGGAACACCTGCTACCTTTTGCTTACCTGTTTTTGAATTGTTTCAGGAAAGATTGTGTGTGTGTGGTGAGTTATTATGCTATTCATATGCCTCTAAATACCATATTCTTTGGAAGCAAATTTTTTACTACATTAGCAAATGTAGTAAAAGAAAATTTGTCTTAGCATTCTCTCTGTTTTTTTTTCAATGTGCACTGTTCATCCCTAATTCATTACAAGTTTCTTTTTAAAAATTACTTATCTGGATAAAGACATCAAAGGCAATCTAAATTTGAAATAAACTCGATAGTATCTTCATTTCTCACCCAAGGGTTTTTTTGTTTGTTTTTTTAAAACAACCATCCACTTCGTGAATGGTTTTGTGACTGCTCCCCCTCATACCCACACAGTCTGGGCAGCTTCTGGAATGTCCGTGTCCTATGGCTCTGAGGTTCCCTAGGGCAGAGATCCAAGTGACTTGCTCTAGTAGAGCTGCTCAAGCAACTCATGGCTTTCCTGGCTGCTTTGGGGCTGTGAGCCCAGAAGAAGCATCTGTACTTGGATATGTGCTGTTATTTAGGGGACTGGTTTTACAAAAGGAAACATCTTGTTTTAGGAGGGTGGATTTTTTTTACCTATGGGGCAACAGAGGATAAGACGGTTAGATGGCATCATCGCCTCAATGGACATGAGTTTTGAGCAGCTTCCAGAAGATAGTGAAGAACAGGGAAGCCTGGTGTGCTGCAGTCTGTGGGGTCACAAAGAGTCAGACATGACTTAGCAACTGAACAACAACAAAACCAACATTTAGTCATTATAGAAAACATATTTAAAAAGCATATAGAATACTTCTCCCATAATGCCACTACCCAAAGAGAATCAGTGGTGGGTGTGTACACATTCTGATCCTCGTGTATAGTCATATGCACATGCACTGTTTTTAAAAAGCCGAAGTGGAACTATACTGTCCCATTTGTAACCTACCTTCTTTTTGACTTATTTATTGTAGAAAATTTCAAATGTCTACAAGAGGATGCATAAAGATATATTTACATATAAAATAATTGCTTGCTTTAACAGTTTTCATGTGTTAGCCAGATTTGCCCACATACATTGCTTTTGTATCATCCCTCTGACATCAGATCATTTCATCTGGGTGTGTGTATCTCTGGGAGATGATGCTTCACTTTTTATACAACATAGCCACAAAACCATTTTCATACCTTAAAAAAATAATTCCTTAAAATCTTCCAATAGCCAATCACTGCTCTTTAAAAATAATTGTTTTATATGCAACTAACATGTGATTACTATAGAAAAATTAGAAAATGAGTCAAACAAATCTAGAATTCTTGTGCACAAAGATAATATTCACCTTTTTAATATTTTCTCAGATATATATATACACCTATGTATTTCTTTAAAGATTTTTTATTGGAATATTGCTTTGAGGCTTTCCCAAAATAGCTCAGTGGTAAAGAATCTGCCTGCAGTGCAGGAGATGCAAGCCACGTGAGTTCGATCCCTGGGTCGGGAAGATCCCCTGGAGGAAGCAGTGGCAACCCACTCCAGTATTCCTGCCTGGAGAGTCCCATGGACCGAGGAGCCTGGCAGGCTGCAACCCAAAAGAGCTGCAGAGAGTCAGAGACTCCTGGGCACACATGCACGCGTCGTTCTTTACAGTGTCGTGGTGTTTTCTGCTGGACGACAAAGCAGATCGGCCATACGTAGACGTGCATCCCCTCTTTTTTTGGACTCTTTGCCTTTAGGCCATCAGAGGGTGCTGGTGGAGTTCCCTGAGCTAAGCAGTAGTTCTCATTGGTTCTCTCTCATACCTAGCAGTGTGTGGGGGTCCTATTCTCCCAGCCCGTCTCATCCCCTCCTCCCCGCTTGGCTTCCATGCTTTTGTTCTCTAATCTGTGTCTCTATTTCTGCTTTGCAGATAGGTTCACCTGCACCACCTTTATAGATTCCACATATATGCCTTAATATACAATATTGTTTTTCTTACTTCATTTTGTATGACGGTCTTTAGGTCCGCTCATGTCTCTGCAAATAGCACCATTTCCTATGTATTTTTAAAGCAGCTTATTGAGAGACAATTCTCATACCATACAATTTATCCATTAGCATGTACAAATCAGTGGGTTTTAGTATATTCACAGGATTAGGAAAATCACCAAAATCAATTATAGAACATTTTCATGACTCCAAAAAGAAACCCCAGTTAGCAAACACTCATAACCATCACCCTTAGCCCTAGACAACCACTAATCTACTTCGTATCTCTGTGTATTTACCTATTCTATTTCATATAAATGAAATTATACAACATATGGTCTTTTTTGATGGGCTTAATTCATTTAGCATGTCTTCAAGGTACATCCATGTTGTAGCGTATGTCAGTACTTGTTTTAAATTGCCAAATAATATTCCATTATGTGGATATACCATAACTACGTACTTTTGATTTTAATAAAAAAGCTGTATCATGCCAAATGACTGCTAGTGGAGATAAGATTTCTTTTAGAGGTGATGAAAATGTCCTATAATGGACTGAAATCATGGTTGCTCAATTCCAAATGTACTAAAAACCATCAAATTCTATACTTCAAATACATGAATTATATCTCAATAAATCTGTTATTAAAAATTATCATACCATATTTTCTCTTTATAAACTACTTTTTAAATTTAATGTTATTAATACTTTCTCACATCACTATTTTTCAAAATATAGTTTTTAGTGTCCATATAATGGTTTTTATTCTATTTAACAAATTCCCTAGTTTTAGAAATTTAGATTGTTTCCAAAAGTGATTTTTCAGTTATACAAAAATACCATGATGAGCTTCTTGGTATATAAATCTGTTTCCTATATCTGATGGTTTTATGGGAAAAGCTTTTGAAGTCTTTTCCTGGTGTTCCAATGTATGTTTTTGTTGCTAAAAATTCTTCTAGCTTTATTGCCATACACAGTAGTTTTCTCTCTGAGTTCAAAATTTCTGTTTGCTGCCTTACAATGATTTTCTCAAAGATTCCTTTTCTCTGTAAAAATTATTAGTAGGCTTAGTATTGAAACAGGTAAGGCTCCTTAGGCTAAGACTTAGTTTCTTTACTAATTTCTATTTGATAATTCAGCAGAAGGAGAGACATTATTTACATATTTATATCTATAATGTTGCTTGTTAACTAGGAAAGAACTCAATGGTTTAATTCATAGAACTCCAGAAAGAAACCCCAGTTAGCAAACACTCATAACCACCATCACCCTCAACCCTAGACAACCACTAATCTACTTCATATCTCTGTGTATTTACCTAAATATATCATAAATCTATTAATGGTTAATTAGAAAGATTTACAAGCAGTTCATTTCTTACCTAGAAGAACAGCTGGTAAATCATCTCAGGGCTAAGATTTATTCAATATATTAAAAGGTCTCTTTTTCTCTTTCCTTTTCATTCACACACATATACTATTACACGCACAACTGATTGATACTTTGACATTATTAAAACCTAAAACTGAACCTAAAAATATCCTCCGTGCTATGATAAGTCGCTTCAGTCGTGTCCAACTCTTTGTGACCCTATGGACTGTAGCCCACCAGGCTCCTCTGTACGTGGGATTCTCTAGGCAAGAATACTGGAGTGGGTTGCCATTTCCTCCTCCAGGGGATCTTCCCAACCCTCAGATGAGTGATCGAACCCTCATCTCTTAAGTCTCCTGCATTGGCAGACAGGTTCTTTACCACCAGTGCCTTCAAATTCCCCTTGATTATTGCTTGTTGGGCTATGCAATTCAGAAATACTTGCCCGCTCTCACAATAAGCCGTTTCTACATGTGGCCACCAAGGACTTTCCTTCCCTTTCTTCCCCCTTAAGGATGAATTTGAATCTTATGTTTTCTTATTTGTTTTCTGACAAACACCTAGACAAACAGTGCCACAGAATAGCTGATATTTTCAGAGGAATGGCCATGTGAACTTTTTGCCGTTTTCTGAATTCACTTCTCGGTGGTGGTGAATTTTTCACACACGTTTACATGGAGCTGTCAAACCTCCATGCTGTGAAGTTGGTATGCTGACATGAGAACCTTGCGGTGCTAGGGAAGGAACATAAATTAGCCAAGGGAGCTCTGAGCATGTGACTGAGATTGGGCAAATCCCACTTTTACCTAATTACATGAGAGGCTGAATTTTGAAAAAGAAGCCCAGCATAAAAGAAATCCAGGTGAAAAATGATCTTCCTCACTGACAATTTGTCCGAGGAAAAGAGCCATCTTTTCATGTTTGGGTTGTTCACTTGCTAAGTCATGTCTGATTCTTTGTGACCCCATGGACTGCAGCAGGCCAGGCTCCTCTGGCCCCCACTGTCTTGGAGTTTGCTCAGATCCATGTCCAGTGAGTCAGCGATGCTAACACTCTCCTCCTGGCCTCCAGGTGCTACACCTGCCAGTGCAGGCAACGAGAGACCCAGGCTTATTCCCTGGGGCGGGGAGATCTCCTGACATAGGAAATGGCAACTTGCTCCAATATTCTTGCCTGGCAAGTTCAGTGGACAGAGGAGCCTGGCAGACTACAGTCCATGGGGTTCACGAAGAGTTGGACACAATTGAGCACACACACCCTCGCCTTTCCATGCAGGATAAAATTCTGAAAGATTATGAGTTGCCACACTCAGAGCCAGCTAGGAATGCACATTAATCGGAGTGTCCATAGCAAACATAAATTTTGATGTCTAACTGGACTCGGGAGAGTAAGTGAGCCATTTGTACACTAGCAAGACTCTTGTAGGATGCATGCTGCCAAGCAGGTGATATCTGAGTCCTGCTCACAGCCATCGTGGTCTGGCCTTTGGGACACATCCATTTGCTCTATTCCAGGAGTGCCAGCCACTCTCTTCTGCTTTGGTTTATGTTCAGTGTCGCTGCAGGGAGCGCCGGCCTCACATAATTTTATCTGGTCTTCTTGGTGTCACTTTTTTACATTCCTGTTGCTTTTCTCCCCTAAAATCTTTATTTGGCATCTCACAGGACACTCCCTGCCCCATTCTTTTTTTTATTGCAGTAAAATAGACATAAAATTGACCGTTTTAATCTTTTTTAAATGTTCAATTCAATGGCATTAAGTACATTCACATTGTTTTGCAGCTATTGCGACCATTTGTCTCCAGAACTCTATTTCATGCTGTACTGAAACTCTGCCCATTAAACAGTAACTCCCCATTCCTCCCTCCAGCTCTGACAATCACCATTCTACTTCCTATCTCTGTGAAATGGACTACTCTAGATACCTCATATAAGTGAAATTATACAATATTTGTGTATGGCTTTTTGCGTCTGACTTACTTCACTTAGCATAGGGTCTTCAAGGTTCATCCTTGTTGTAGCATGTATTAGAATTCCCTTCCTTTACAAGGCTGAATAATATTTCATTGTGTATATATATACCACATTTTGTTTATCCACCCATCTACCAATGGACATTTCTACCTATTGGCTGTTATGCATAATGTTGCTGTGAAATTAATATGTAAATACCTGTTCCAGTTCTTTTTAAATAAAAATTTTGAAACTGCCCTTAAGAAGTAGGGAATTGAATTTAGAACTCAGAAATTAAAAGCAAGAGGATCTTGAATTAAGATGAAGCTTCTTGGAAGTAAGACCTGTATATTCTTCTCGCCTAAAGATGATAGGCCCCCTATGGAATTTGACAAACATTAAAGATCAATACTATATTAAATGTGGTTCCTTTTGCATTTATAGATGCAAAATTCACCACACCAAATTCTCAATGCCTTGCAAATCATCTCTAGGTATTCCATCTTCCTTCTCTGTATAGTGTGGGTTTTCCAAGTGTCCCATGAAGTTGTCATGAAAGACAAACCAATTGCTCTGGGACTCTTGAGACTGAGTTAGGTAGAAATGTTGATGACTTGATTATTGAGTCCTTTGATCCTGCTGAGACTCTTGAGTCACAGTAATTAACAAATACATATATGAAGAATTAATGAGTCATGGAAAGGGAGAGGTATCCTATCCCAAAAAGTTACCTTAGTTAACGTGCAGCAAAAAGGAGTTTAAACCACATCAGATGCAAAATGTGGAAACAGCAACAAGTGAAAAACGATTTTTAAATTTAGAAGACTCTAAGCTGCTCAAAGCCAAGCCCGCAGAAGTCAGAGAAAACAGTGATGAGTCAGAAGAGAGGTCCTCGCGTGCACCCAAGCAGATCTCTCACTGATTTGCTTTGTTGGTTATGACTGCATCTCACAAAGGGCAAAGTGTTGCTCATGTTCAGATATGTACTGAATTGGGGTACTACAATGTTCTGCTTTAAATGTGGCTGGTGAAAGGATCCTAACCATGTCCTCTTCTGTCTGTAGGAATAGATAATCTCTATGAGAGGGCGCTTCACATCCGCAAACTGCTCCTGACCTTGCCCAGGTCGGTCCTTATAGTGATGAGGTACCTCTTTGCCTTCCTCAATCAGTAAGTACCACAGTTTTGCCAAAAGGCTCATTTTAATTCCCTGTGTACTGCTCTGAATTCTTCATTCTTAGATTCTGTAAAATGTACATTGGGTTCCTTTTATTAGCAGAGTCAAAGAGAAGATGCTTGAATAGAGACTGAAGGTGCATTTTCCCTCAGCAGATCAAAGTCATCACGTGTCACCTACCTTATAAGGTCACACGATGACCTACATAAACCTCATCACCAGATGTAGAAACTGTGGCCAGAAATGCAAAAATGCACAAGTATTACTAAAAAGAACACTTTTCAGTGAAATATGTGGAAGTGTTTTCCAACTTCCATCCAAAGCCAGTGTCATAAATGTTTTTGTCAAAATGATGTAAACCATATGCTCACAGCAGAAAATTTCTGTGATTTTTAATGTTATAGTCAGGGAAGGAAGGGAATTGTAGGTGAGACTTGTACACAGATCCAAAAAAGAATTGTCTGCAAATTGAGTATAATGAGACCTTGTCAAAAAGATGATATTTCTAAAGCAATCTTTAAAACAATGTCACAGAAATCTTAAAAATCACTACATTATTTTCAAGGAAACTTGACTCTCTTAATTTAGGGAACTTGATTTCAGTTGTGTTACTTGTAGGTACATGGGCTCCATGATAAGAACATCTTCCCCTGTTCTATCTGAGTCCCCTTGCTCTTTAACATTTCAATTAAGCCTTTTTTTTTTTAATAAGAAAATTCAGGTGGGAGTAAACTTCAGGAGATGCTTTCTCACTCAAGCATGAGCTCTCCCTTCTTAAAATTAGAAAATTTTTTCTTCTGTTTCACCAGAAGTGTTTTAAGTTCTTAAAAGCCATGGGGATTTATTACACCCTTGCTGACTCTTCCTGAAATCATACCATTCAGATTGACCACACATCCCCAGCCCCAAAGCCAAGTATCCTACAACAGGGAAATGCTGGCAGGGGACCCATACAGAGTGGAGCTAAAGCATCTACAGATGACACGGTACAGAAGTCACCCCTGGAAATAAGCAGTACCAAGAGAGAAGGGTGTAAACTATTTTAGGTTAAATGATACCATAAACTTTTATCTTTAAATAAGCCTCGTCACCCACGTAGTTGTAAAAATCTGAAGGTTTGCCATCTTCACCTTGAATTACGCATGCCTCTCCTTCCCCAACATGGACCACCTCGCATTCCTGCTGGCCCTCTCCATGAAGTCCATACCAAATATTCTTGACACGCCTGAGTGAAACCCGCTGTGAACCAATCAGCCACAATGGACTCGGGAAACAAACTGACCACGAGTCAAAAAAGCTCTAAAAGTGTGACTCTAACTGACGGTGGAGCTCAACAGACTAGCAGCCGGGCCGGGAGCCAGACATCGGCATTTCTGCCCAGAGATGTCCCCTGGTTCCTGCACCTGCCTTCGTGCAGAAGCCAGGCCCAGTCTCTGGAGTAGGATACGTGGGACAGGAATTTTGGAAAGAGAAAGAAGCTATTCTCTTTCCATTGTAAAATCAAAATTTTTCTATCAGCTGTTTGCTCTTCAAACCAGCACTAAACACCCAGAAAGACTGACTCTCCGCTTTGAGCTGAAGTGTGTCTTTTGAGCGTGAGATCATTCTTATTCTGAATCTCACTTTTCCTTCCTGCATTCATGTTGAAGGTGATCTGTAACATGATCATTGGCTGTTGTTTGTGAACTGTTTTAAGACTTTATGTTTGAGAAATGGCAGAAAGGAAAGACATATGTTGCCTGTGAGAATTACCCTTTTGTATTTTCTACTTTCTCGGCTATCTTATTTCCAAAACGGGGTAAAGTATCTTGTCACACGGGATCTCAGTTTCTTTGTGTCGGTCAACATCTCACAAATGTAGCTGAGTCTCTTTTTCTCTCCTTCCGTTTGTCATCAGTTCACCTGGATTTTACATTTCCTTTCAAGGCTGACATTCTATACACTGAAAGATAGATTCTCTAGATTCTCCCTGGAACAGCACCTTGCCCGTGTGTTAGAGGTGTAGCATAAAGAACTTCTTATTTTCCGTCCCCTGTGGAAACTATCTCACCAACAGCAATTGAATTGAATTTTAAAATTAGTACTAGACAACTAGAAGTCTCCCCCAAAGTGTGTAGTTTACCAGCTTTAAATGGAAAGTGAGAATTGAGGATTCTTTTCCCCCTTCACTTGCACTCGTCTTTTGTGACACTAACTGTCACCTTGTATTGATCATCTTGCCCAAAAGCAAATTACAAAGCCTGGAGTTGCTTGCTTTCTTTCAGTTGGGTACAAAGAAAGGGTGCTTTTGTTTTTCTCAGGACTCCCCTCAAGATTTATGGGAAAAACTGAAATCTGAAATGTGTTTGGTTAGTTGGAGGACAATTTTAAAGATGATCATACTGTTTGCAAATGAAACTCTCTTACTTGATCCTGGTCTCCATTGTATTAGAAATTATCTTAAACTCCCTTGTGACTTTCAAAAAAATGCCACTTAAGTAAGCAAACAGGATTTATATTCCTCTTTCCATGTCTACCTAGTGAAAAGGTTATAAGTTGCTTTACTTTCTTTGGAATTTGCTGAGCCACCTTAAAGTAGGATAAAGTATTTTATTCTAATAAGAAAACTCATTTTCAGAATAGGAAGTATCCTATTAAGCATTTTCTTTTTTCCCCTTGTTCTTTTATAACTCCTGTCTTGCTTTCTTTCGTAGTCTTTCACAGTACAGTGATGAAAACATGATGGACCCTTACAACCTGGCCATCTGTTTTGGCCCCACATTGATGCCTGTCCCAGAGATACAGGATCAAGTGTCCTGCCAGGCTCATGTGAATGAGATTGTCAAAACCATCATCATCCACCATGAGACTATTTTCCCAGATGCTAAAGAGCTGGATGGCCCTGTTTATGAGAAATGTATGGCTGGAGACGAGTATTGGTAAGTCCAAGAATTTTAGTCCTTGCTTCTCCTCCTGGAAAAAATTATAGTAGTACAGATATCAACTTAATTTAAAAAAAAAGAATCGACTATAAGATGCCAGTGCTTCCAATTTAAAAAAAGAAGCAGCAGGAACACTTGAGATAAATTAGAATATTAAATCCCATGACAGCACTGACTTCTTCTTATGGAAATTCGTATTCATTTCTCTTTTCCCTAAATACTACATCTTTTTAGATACACCTACCCCATCATGACTTTTGTAGAGAATGGTTTTTAAGTAGAGAGCTGTATACATTTTTACTGTTATATCAAGAAAAGATAACTGAATTAACAGACTTCATTTTCATTCCTAAATAGTTTTGATTCTGTGGAAAGTATTTCAAAAGTTTCATTTTAAAGGAGCAGCTGTCAACTAAATGTGTTTTCATTCTTACTTTCATTTTCATTCTTACTAATATTGTCCTGATCAATTACACAAGTCATGGTCACTTTGAACAAAGTTATTACATTATTATATTGTTGGGATAAAAATTTTTTAATAAGACAGTATAGTCACCTCCCAATGAAGGGTAAAACTGTATCATCCAAAGATAAGGAAACCCCAAAATGTTTATGTTCACTATTTGATATATGAGTTCCAGCTTCTAAGAAATCACATACAGTAAAACTGGTTTTAATTCGTTGAGGTCCTCATGTGTGCCAGCTTCCCAGTGCATGTGATCTCTCTTATTCCTACTCTACCAAGTAAGTTGAGAGGCCAAGAAGCCAGGCCAATGACTAGTGGTTTCTGGAGGCAGCCCAAGTCTGTCTGATTCCTAAGTCCACACGAGTCTTCCCACTCAGCAGCTGCCTCCCAGCCTCCCTAGAAAACTCCCTGTGCAGCTAAGATTCAGCAGCAGCTGGAAATAGATTTGCCTAAGCCCTTCATTCTGGACTCTGCAGGATACTTTGTTTCCCATTGCCTTACTGGGGATTAAGTAGAACAAGTAGCTGAAAAATCTAAATAACTGAAAGTACATTTTTTTTTCAACTTAAACCACAGTATAATTTAAACCACAAATGATCTTATGCCGTAAGAAAATTCAGAGTTGACCATTTCCAGAAGTACTGCTTTCTAAATTAACAACAAAGCATGACAGATTCTGTGTGTGTGTGAGTTGCTCGGTTATGTCTGACTCTCTGCAACCCCATGGACTGTAGCCCACCAGGGCTACATATTTTTAAAATATTTACTACATGCACGTACTGACATAAGCTTGGCTCTGGAAAGATAAATGAATAAAACTCAGCCCTGGTGAGTTTTTCAGAATTTTATTTTCAGAATTCAGAATTTTATTTTCCTAGTTGTATTTGTTTCAAGGCCAGTGTCAGTCATGTTTAATATTTACGAATATTCAGGACTCTATCAGTAAGTTGTACTGTCTGATTCACTTTATCAGAGAGCAAATATATGGATGTCTGGTCGATATTATTTAATGTGTTGTATTCTAGGACTTTTTGTGGTTGCTCCTTTTGTACAAACAGGATAAAATCCCCGTAATAAAGAGTCTTAGAGTCAGTAACATGTGCTTGATTATGTCTTCTCCCACACATGGTATTCTCTATAGATATCGCTTGTTTTAAACAGAAAGTCAATATTATAGTAATCATCCTCATCCCCCAGTGCCAGCAATATAAATGGGCTTTTACAACAATGTCAGGTTTGTATTTGTAACCAATGCATTCCATTTATCAGCATACATTTGAGAAGTAATAGTGCTAATGTTAAAGGATAGAATCTAACTCTCAGATATAAAAATGAACATGGTCAAGAAAAGTTGAAGAAGATAACTACAGCCAATTCAAAGTAGAAATCAAAGAGCCATCCATTTTTATGCAGTAGTGGATATTGAAATGAATTTGCAAACATTGGTATATCCAGAGAGTGATAATCATATTCCACTAGAATTCGACAAATGTTCCTTTTTATACATAAGAATCATTTGTAATACTGTCAGTTTCCTACATGTCAGTTTTGTCTTTACAGAGTTGTAGTATGTCAAAGATGAAGGGACATAGACTCCCATAGGATTGCACAATCCTGGAGGCTCCAGCATCTCACCGAAATGCTATCCAGGAACTCCTCTGCCATTCCGTGTTTTTCCTCATAGTAGCAGTTGTTCAGTTTTGAAATTCACTTTGGCCTCATATGATTTCTGCTTCTGCTCCTCAGCGACAGCCCATACAGTGAGCACGGTACGCTGGAGGAAGTGGATCAGGACGCGGGTACAGAGCCGCACACCAGTGAAGACGGTATGCACTTGTGCTATTATTAAACTAGTCTTTATAGCCATTTTTATAACCATTTTTAAAGAATTACTTATATTGTACTCACTTTGGCAGCACATATACCAAGAATTGCTTATATTAAGAATTTAGTAGATACAAAATAATATATACTAAATATGTGTAAACTACAAAGAATAATACTGCAGGGAACACCTGTGAAACCACCACCAGATTTAAGAAAAAGTACCATTACCTTTTCACTGTCCTGAACCCATTGTCTTCCATACCCCTTAAGGTAAGCTATGTGTTTGTGCTTTTCAATGGATTATTGTTTCATTTTCTGTTTTCTTGAACATTTTATAGATGGAATCATACTATATATATTTTCATTGTTTTCTATGCAGTATTATATTCCTGAAATTCATCCCCATCATTGCATGCAGTTAGAATAATTTATTTACCACTGTATAGTATTCCATTATATATATATTTTTTTATTATTGGTGAATATATGAGGTGTTTTCTGGGGATTTTTTTGCCATTAAGAACAGTCCAGGTGGACAGGAGTTTCTCTCAGATACACACACCTAGGAGTAAGCATGTCTCCAACCTTGCTGCATACTGCCCAACTATTTTTGAAAATGGTTGTAAGGGGGCTTCCCTGGCAGTCCAGTGGTTAAGAGCCCATGCTTCCACTTCAGGAGGCATGAGCTCCATCCCTGGTAAGGGAACTAAGATCCCACCTAACGCAAGAAGCAGCCAAAAAATACGAAAATGGTTGTAGGGCTACCCACTCCCACCAACAGCGTCTCAGCCTTTCAGTGGTATGCAGTCATCCACACTTGAGTTTATATCAAATATTGTAAGTCTTTGCCAATACTGTCAAGTGTGTAATGGTATCTCACTGTGATTTTAATGTGCATTTCTCTGCTTACTGATGATGTTTTAAAACATAGTCTATTAATAGAAAACTTACTGTATGATAAGGGTAAAGAGGGTATGGTAAGGCCAACAGATGGGGAGATGATCGCCATGGAAAAGATAATCTGTTGCTCACAGTTCCTAAGAGGAGGGTTCACGTCACACCTCAGGGGGCCAGGGAAAGCACCGGGGTCAGACGGGCAGGAGAACACCTGGCCAAGAGTTTTTATTGTGGTTTCACGAAGCAACAGGCAAGGCAGGGTAAGCAGCGTTAGGATTCCCTACTTTGAATAATTTCAGAGGGCTCTGGCTGTCTCTGGTTGGTACCTGGCCATGAAGTGTTTGGGGCACAGGGATAGTGGCCTAAGGTGTGGGAGCCCCAGAGAGGAAGTGGCTGGAGTATGGGGCTCTGGATTGGTTGATTTGCATTTGAAAAGCACATTCCAGGTGAGCTGTTTACTAGGAATTTTCTAACCCTGGAAGGGACAGTCCCTCCAGGGGGAGCAAAGCCCCAGAGATCATACTGTAGAAAATGAAAAACATGGTTAATACAGATACACTAATTTTTGTATGTTTATTTTTGCAAAATTCCTATCAAATATTTTGCCAGCTTAGGGCCTATTTGCCCACTGTTTAGTTTGGTTTGGCTTTGGTTTTTCCTTGTAAAAGTTTATGAGGCTGGATCAAGTCCTTTATTGAGTATATGCTTTGCAAATATTTTCTGCTCTGTAGCCTTTCATGTGCCTATTATGTTTTTTGCCAAACAGAGGATCTTAACTTTAAAGGAACTGAATTTACCCATCTTTTCCTTCATGGTTGTTTCACTTTGTGTCTCCTTTAAGAAATCCTTATCCTTCTGTGACTTAAGTTAATGTAGAAGTTCTTCTATAGTCTCTTTTAAATCCTTTCAGGTTTTGTTTTTCACAAATAGGGCTTAATTCTACCAGGAATTCATTTGGAGGTATGGTGTGAGGTAGGGATCTGTTCCTTTTTTCTCCTTATGGATGCACAGCTGTCCCCACTGTCCCAGCCTTAATTATCCCTTCTCTACTGCCCCACACCTTTATCATAAATCAAGTGTCCTCTCTGTGTGAGTCCATTTCTGGTCTCTGTTCTTTTCCATGGGTCTACTTGTTTATCCCTACACTGCTGTCTTCATTTTGTTACCTTTTAATAAATCTCAATATTTGTCAAATCAAGACCTCTGACTTTGTTCCTCTTAACAATTCTTGGCCTTTTGCAACTTCACTTAAATTTCAAATTCAGTTTTTCAAGTTCTTAGAAAGAAACAAGGAAAATCTAAAAACCTGTTGAGATTTAGATTGCAGTTGCACTACTCCCAAGTTCAGTTCACTTTCATATCTGCTTGGTCCTTTGCTCTTTACTCATAATACTAATCCTTTCTATTGTTTTAGGTTATGTGTCTAATTATTCTAAAAAGCTGAAGTCTTCCTGGATTTGTTTTTGTTGGCTTTTGCTCATCTGAGTCTTATTTCCAGTGTGTTTTATATATTTTTTACGTATCTCTTAGAACTTTATGGAATTCATTTACGTTGAGGTAAAGGTATGTCCCTCCAGAGAGGGTTTTCATTACTTCTGCCTGGGGCATAACCAGCTTGGAACCACAATAGATTTTTAGTTTGAGGTTTTTCAAGCCACCCAGGTGGTATCAACTTAAAATGCAAACCTGCCTGAGGGCTAGAATGTGGTTGGGATTCTGAGGTAGGGTTTTTTTGTTTTTGTTTTTCCCTAAGCCTTGAGATAGATTTTTTTTTTCCTTAAATTCAAGGTCAGAGTGGTTACATCTGTGGAGAAGTGTGGCAGGAGAATTTCAGAACTAGAAATCCACTGTGATGTGTCACAGAGTTCGATACTTTGGTGGGGCTTAGAGTCTCCTTGCTGGGCAGCCCCTGGACCTAGTCTTTTGTTTAAAATAAAGCTTAAGTTAACCAGGCCGGGGAAAATGCCCTCAAGGCAAGCTCTGACTTACATATTCTAGTGTTCACAATCCTGGTGTTCTGTTCACCTCCGCAGGTTCTTTCATTCAAGTTTAGTATTCCTCACTGTCATGATTAATGCAATCACAAAGTTTTTTTTTTTTTTAATCCAGCATTTTTAGTTGATTTCAGCAGGAAGGTTATCAAGGTGTCTAGGGTCCACCCTCTGCTTTTAAAAAAAAAAAAAAAGACATTTTCAGAAACTTAAGTTGGAAGAAATTCTTTAAAGTGAGAGCTTCTATTTCTGTGGGATTGCTTTTGAAAGTCTCTGAGCCCACCCTCTGCCATCCTTCTCTCCTTTCTTTTGTCTTGAGCTTCTCGTTTCTCTATAACTCATTCCTTTTTCACTGGTGACTTTTCTAAGTGTCTCCTTGCTTGTCCCAGTGGCAGGAAAAGCCCACGAGACGGAGCCCCAGTCACCTCTCTTCCCAAACCTCAGTCTCACCTCTGTACCATGTCAGTCGTTCTCACCTGTTCTTACCTCTGGGCTACAAAAGAGAAGCTTCGCTGAGAGCGCTGTATTTGAGATAACATTTTTATCTTGTTCACCTGATAGTGCTGGAGAGAAAAACATTGCTTACAAAGAACAGATATTCTTTCCTGCAGTCAGACTCTAAAGTCCTTTAACTAAATTAACCAGAGTATTGATCTGTCTCTTTGATCACCCTGACTTTATTAAGTCAGGTATTGCATTTTCTTCCTTCTGTCATGGTATCACTGAAAAGAGTAACTTTTGTTTCCAAAAGAGAGGCTGTCACAGAACAAAATCATCATCCGCAAGGGCAGGGGTAACAGATGTAGGAGAGAAAGTGTCAGCGACAGCAAGGTCCCAAAGGGATGGCATGATATACTAGCACTTTGTATAAAATTACAAAAAATGGAAATATAAGACTTGATAGCAGCAGGCAGTCAGAAAATCAGCTCTGTTGAATGTTCCTTCTCTTGCCACGTAAGAAAATGAAGTTGTCTCGTTCACCCTCGTTGTTGTTATTGGTAGCAGTAGCATTGTACTCAGCCTCTACAGGACTTGAAAGGGCTGTGTGACCCTACATGAAAGGCGTGTGGTGCACCACCATGCCCTGAGATCGGTTTGTTCTGCAATGACTAGACTGAGACGTGTATAAATAGCTTATTGATTGACACTTGACTGTGAAATTTCTCTCATGGGAGTAGAAAGAAGTCAAAATAATGAAATTGCCCAGAATTACTAGTTGATGTAGTAAGAGCACCAATGAAGTATACTTCTGATTCATCTGGTCATTCTTTCATAATGTCTGTGCCTTTGAATTAAATAAGCAAAGTCTGATCATCTTGCTGCTAGTTGTTTCAAAAAAGAAAGAAGTAATGAGCGTAGAGGGCATGATGATGAAATTATGATAAAATATGTATATATCTATTAAACAATCATAAATGGCCCTTGGCCACTGATGACAGTATATGGTCGAATGGCATTAAAGAACATGAATAGCTCTCGCTTCCCTTTGACAGGTACATGGGTTGTATACTCTGTTATGCTATTAGATTTCCATTTTTTCAGTAAAACAGTTTAAACATATGGGTGTATCACATAAGAATTTGCAGACTGCATATCATGAAGCTCTTTTTAATCAGTTGGCATGCCTGCATTCCTCCATGAATGCTTGTGTCCCTTACACCACAGACATGTTTATTTCTGTCCCTCAGGGAGACCTGGGGTAAAAAAATTTGGTATCAGCCATCTCAGTTCAAGCAGGGTTTTCTTTTTATGTGCAAGTTTAGAACAAAGTATAAAGTCAGTCCCCTTAAATAAACAGTTCTCTTTCCTCCTCTATGAGCAGACTTGTGGATATTTAATAAATTTATTTATATTAAAATATTTTTAGGATGGAATAATGGAGTGTTAACATATGATCTAAAAGTTATTGTCAGTTGTTAAAGAACTTAAACTATTGTTTTAAAATTACTTTTACACCTACCTTGTTGAGAAGTATACCATGTACAGATTATAGTGTTTGATTCTTTCATATGAATTATTATTTACTTAAGGATCTACTTATCTACTAGCAAAGGATGGAACTTTTTTTCTCTTTATTTTAAATATATAGCAGAAATTCACCCCGGTCCTTCATGGAAGATAAATCCTAAGCTTTTTCAATATGTTTGTTGATTTTTATGTTCATGCTGTCCCAGAGAATGTTTGCACTTTTTCAAGTGAGAAAGAAGCTTAGCTGGTTATCCAGAGATTTCATTTGTAGTTATTT